ATAAGCATAGCCAGCATAGCACAAGATAACGGCATAGCATATCATAGCGGTAAGAATAGCATATCAGCATATCATAGCGGCAAAGAATAGCATCAGCATTAGAATCGCATAGCATAGCAGTATACATAGCAGTATAACATAACACAGCAGTAAGCACAGCACAACAACACAGCATAGCAGCATAACATAGCATAGCAGCATAGCAGCATGGCAGCATAGCATAGCATAGCATAGCACAGCAGCATGACATCATAGGCCATGGCAGCATAGCATAGCATAGCATAGCACAGCAGCATGACATCATAGGCCATGGCGATAGCATACGTAGCCGCATGTACACGTCAGTGCCTGGTAACACGATGCGCCGCCGCGGCGGTACACGTTCGCTTCATCGCGCAGACGACGGACGCGTTCGCCCCCGCTTGGGTGTAGCTCACCTGTCGTGAGCTTCGCGAACCATTCACGCTATTCGTCAATGTCGCCGGTGTCTTACACCACGGCGCCATTGATTGGGGATTTTTAAACAGGCTCGCGGTCGACCACCGAAGCCACAGCAGCTCGTGCAGTCTGGCGAAAAAGCGGCACCGGCATGGGCGCTGGGCCTTCCGGAGTGCGGTGCACAGCGCGCACACCCTGTGCACAGTTTGTGCACAGTGAGCTCAGCGCCCGAGGCCGATGCAGCGCATGGCTGACGCGGCCGCGGCGGTGTTTCACCTCCGCTGACCAGCCACGCGGCAGTGCTGCGGCGGGTGTTTTGGATGCGAGGACAGGGCTGGCACGGAGCTGGGGCAGAGCTGCAAGAGATGGGGCAGGGCTGGCACGGAGCTGGGGCAGAGCTGCAAGAGATGGAGCAGAGCTGGCACGGAGCTGGGGCAGAGCTGCAAGAGATGGAGCAGAGCTGGCACGGAGCTGGGGCAGAGCTGCAAGAGATGGAGCAGAGCTGGCACGGAGCTGGGGCAGAACTGCAAGAGATGGAGCAAAGCCGGCGGCGGAGCGCGCACTGACCCAGTGGCGTGGGGCGGGAACGAGGCCGTCAGATCACGACACGGTGCCTGTGTACCGGCACTAACTGTCCGCTCGTTGCCGCGGGCGGCACGCTCCCGTCGTTAGGATGAGCGGGCAGAGGTCGGCCGCTGGCAGCGGTGACGGCAGAGACAGACAGACGGGGATCGCCCGGCGACGCTCGCCGCACTACTCGGCGCATTCAGACAATATCTCCGTATATCGCTGCAGCGCACCAGCGGCTGCTGTGCGGGCCGCGGACAATGGGCGGTGGGCGCACGACTGCTCCCGGCTTTGACCCCGCTCACATTGTTGACCCACGCCGGCACTCAAGGGGCCTTGTGTGGTGATGTGATCATTGTCTCGCACCCGGAGCGCTGCCCAGTACGGGCCAGCCGTGGCCTTTCACCCGACAGCAATGCCCGGAACAATGCGCCGGAGCGGCGCGAGAGGTGGTCGAGAGCACGCCGTGGCCACGCTACCCCTCTGGAAGTGTAACTGGGTACAGCCACGCGGCGCCTCTGGGAGTGTATCTGGTTACGGCCGCGAGGCCCCTCTGGGAAAAACGCACAGAATGTGTACGCACGCAAAAACGCACAGAGTGTGTATATCAGATCTACACACAAAACACACAGATACAGACCTAACCACCATGTGCACATTCACCGAACATATGCGCTACGCACCCAGATATACACAGACGGAGCATATACACAAAGATGCACAGACACATACAACTGAAACTGAACTGAAATGTCCACACCATTACCATCAGAATGATCAGTTGACTGCAGTTCAGCTATCCGGTCAAGAACACACCGGGTGTCATGGGCAGATGACCCGTGCATACCGCCGCTGCCAGGCCGCTGCCGACCGGCGCCCCCACCAAGCTGTGACGCCCGGGGGCGGCCTGCCGGCGGTGCAGGGGTGTACCGGGCACACACCGGCACAGTGTCACAGTGCGCGGGCGTCATGCTACACAGCATGCTATGCAGCGAGGTGGGCCGGCAGCTGCGTGAGAGACGACTCACATCAGCTCCGAACAGAATGCTTCCTGTGATTGGCACCTGCAAAACCACGAGAACACGGGGTAAACGCAAAATGCTGCAGGTGGGGTGTCGCTGATCACGACCACTACGTTTGCAGCTGCCGGGCCCGGCCGCGGCATGAGGGGGAGGGGGGGGGGGGGGTACCGAGTGACGTCACTACATCGACGCGGTTTTGGTACATGACAGCTGACAAACCACGCAAAGTGTGACAAACGACATCGGCTTTGATTAAGCGAATCCAATCCCTTCTTAGGCTGCTTGACCTCAGGTCAGACATTGTGAGGGATCTCAATGCAGCATTGTAAAGCCACGTCGCACATCGCATAAGAGACTCCGTAGCCTCACGCCGCCTGTAAAAACTGAGAGCTGAGAGCCCGTGACGGCGACATCAGTTCTCTACGCTCAGTCATGCAATCCGTCGTTATATCGGCCCGAAGCATGGCAACTGTTTTTTTGTTTTCCGTCGGACAGGCTGGTCCGAATAGCAGACCGTTACGTCCACGCAAAGCCACATTGGCGTTTCGCGGGCTTCCGTCCATTGTTTCTTGTACTGGTGAAGCTCTGCATAGATAGTGCCATTTTTCACAAGGCTTTTCACAAGACAACGCACGTAGTTAGGCACTCATGAAGCACAAAAATTTACTTTTCAAGTCCACGGACTTTTGCGGCCCGCATATGCGAAACTCAAATCCAGAGCTGAATCCTATTCAAAGCCGGCTTCGGTTTATGCACGATAAGCATCCTAACGCTGGTATATATCCTCCAACCACACCTGTGCTTCTGATCCCCACCTGAACGGCCTATCTCTGTCTGCGCCCGAGCTGACCACCTCTGCCCTTGGGGGTCCAGCTGACCACCTCTGCCCTTAAGGGCTCCAGCTGACCACCTCTGCCTTAAGGGCTCCAGCTGACCACCTCTGCCCTTAAGGGCTCCAGCTGACCACCTCTGCCCTTAAGGGCTCCAGCTGACCACCTCTGCCCTTAAGGGCTCCAGCTGACCACCGCTGTACGTAGGACCCCAGCTGACCACCTCTGCCCTAAGAGCCCTAGCTGACCACTTCTGCCCTCGGGGCTCCAGCTGACCACCTCTGCCCTTCGGGCTCCAGCTGACCACCTCTGCCCTCGGGGCTCCAGCTGACCACCTCTGCCCTTCGGGCTCCAGCTGACCACTTCTGCCCTCGGGGCTCCAGCTGACCACCTCTGCCCGTAGAGTCCCAGCTGACCACCTCTGTCCGTAGGGCACCTCTGCTCGAAGGGCCCTAGGTGACCACCTCTGCCCTTTGCGGCTCCAGCTGACCACCTCTGCTTTTGGGGACTCCAGCTGATCACCCTGTCCTCCGCACCAGGTACTGGACCATCGACCGGACCATCAGCAAGTCGGGTTCAGCCGCCAAGGGCACGTACCAGCACATACGCCGCTCGTGCCGCGAGCGGGGCCTGCTGTTCGAGGACCCTGACTTCCCGGCCTCCGGTCAGGCGCTGGGCAAGAAGCCACCGCCGCACGGTGTCGTCTGGCTCCGACCGCACGTGAGTGCCCACGGCGGGCGGAAGGAGGGAGGGGGAGGCAGTGTTGAGTGGTCTGGTCTTGGTCTGGCTTCGACCGCACGTGAGTGCCCACGGCGGGCGGAAGGAGGGAGGGGGAGGCAGTGTTAAGTGGTTTGATGAGAAGTGGCGTATATGATGGCGTAAAGTAGCTTTGTAATAATATGGTGATATTAATAGGTAGAAATGGTTGTGTAATGATAGTCTGTTACTATAGTGTAGAATGAATAGGATAAATCGATATATTTCTAAATAGCGTATTAATAAACATG